TTTACACGCCGATCGGCGTCACCCGGCACCAAGGGGTTAACCCAATGGCGCCAGGTGTACAAAAGAAAAAAAAAACTCTACGCTTAAACAAAACAAAGGCGGCGCGCCGACTTTGAGCGCGTGAGTAGGGGACATCAGCCTGAATCACTGGCTTGCCGCGCTTTGGCGCGCCGCCGGCTCGTTCGGCTGCACGCCAGCTTTCGAGCTCTTTGTTTACACGCCGATCGGCGTCACCCGGCACCAAGGGGTTAATAACATTTAACACACTCACACCGGGTAAAAATGAACAAAAAATGGGGGAAATGCTGTGCTAATTTTTTATATCTTTTAATAAAATTTCTCTACACTAGATGGCTCTGCCTTACCTGATTTCACCTTTACTTGAATTGGCGGGAAAATGTATTTTTACTAGTGTTACGAATATCGATGGTTATTTTCGTTATAAACATTATAATTAATATAATGTTATAAACATTAGTAACAGCAAAATAAGATAATGCAAAATAATTTTGTAAATCAAAGAAAAGGGTAAACAGGCGAGACAGGCAGTATAAGTACAAGTGTCGCCATCTATGTGTGAAAACAATTAAACAAGTAAACTCACAGTGAGCCTGTCATGTATACATGACGCCCGGCGTGAATGGGTTAAGAGAATTAACTAATGCAAAAGATCCTTTCCAAAAGTCGAGGAAAAGGGTAAACACGTGAGATACGTAGGACTAATAACCAATTCCTTGGTGAGCTTGTAGAGCCATCTATGTGTAGTAACAATAACTAAACTTGTATTACATGGGGCATGGCATGTATTCTTGACATATAAGGTCATTGGGGGTAACCCAGAATATTGAGAACATTCTCACTCTAATTCTCTCATTTACTCATTCTCTCATACTCTCACTTTGTTCATATATCATATTACAGCCTTTCTATTTGTCCTTACACAAAACATTACCTGCAAAGGTGTTAGAGTGACTGGCTTGCCATCTGCCAGTAGTTTATCTGCCTCATGGAAAAAGAGTCTTGCCATGGACTGTAGTAAATGAGTAAGTTCATAAATGTGGAAGTCGAGGAATTCTGCCAATTCACGGGGTAATGCATGATGCATGAAATTGAGGATTGTCTGGAAGAGAAATATTCAGTTAACAAAGAAAAAAATAAATAAAACTCATAAACAATTCATTAACGATGATGATGATGATGATGATGATGATGATGATGATGATGATGATGATGATGATGATGATGATGATGATGATGATGATGATGATGATGATGATGATGATGATGATGATGATGATGATGATGATGATGATGATGATGATGATGATGATGATGATGATGATGATGATGATGATGATGATGATGATGATGATGATGATGATGATGATGATGATGATGATGATGATGATGATGATGATGATGATGATGATGATGATGATGATGATGATGATGATGATGATGATGATGATGATGATGATGATGATGATGATGATGATGATGATGATGATGATGATGATGATGATGATGATGATGATGATGATGATGATGATGATGATGATGATGATGATGATGATGATGATGATGATGATGATGATGATGATGATGATGATGATGATGATGATGATGATGATGATGATGATGATGATGATGATGATGATGATGATGATGATGATGATGATGATGATGATGATGATGATGATGATGATGATGATGATGATGATGATGATGATGATGATGATGATGATGATGATGATGATGATGATGATGATGATGATGATGATGATGATGATGATGATGATGATGATGATGATGATGATGATGATGATGATGATGATGATGATGATGATGATGATGATGATGATGATGATGATGATGATGATGATGATGATGATGATGATGATGATGATGATGATGATGATGATGATGATGATGATGATGATGATGATGATGATGATGATGATGATGATGATGATGATGATGATGATGATGATGATGATGATGATGATGATGATGATGATGATGATGATGATGATGATGATGATGATGATGATGATGATGATGATGATGATGATGATGATGATGATGATGATGATGATGATGATGATGATGATGATGATGATGATGATGATGATGATGATGATGATGATGATGATGATGATGATGATGATGATGATGATGATGATGATGATGATGATGATGATGATGATGATGATGATGATGATGATGATGATGATGATGATGATGATGATGATGATGATGATGATGATGATGATGATGATGATGATGATGATGATGATGATGATGATGATGATGATGATGATGATGATGATGATGATGATGATGATGATGATGATGATGATGATGATGATGATGATGATGATGATGATGATGATGATGATGATGATGATGATGATGATGATGATGATGATGATGATGATGATGATGATGATGATGATGATGATGATGATGATGATGATGATGATGATGATGATGATGATGATGATGATGATGATGATGATGATGATGATGATGATGATGATGATGATGATGATGATGATGATGATGATGATGATGATGATGATGATGATGATGATGATGATGATGATGATGATGATGATGATGATGATGATGATGATGATGATGATGATGATGATGATGATGATGATGATGATGATGATGATGATGATGATGATGATGATGATGATGATGATGATGATGATGATGATGATGATGATGATGATGATGATGATGATGATGATGATGATGATGATGATGATGATGATGATGATGATGATGATGATGATGATGATGATGATGATGATGATGATGATGATGATGATGATGATGATGATGATGATGATGATGATGATGATGATGATGATGATGATGATGATGATGATGATGATGATGATGATGATGATGATGATGATGATGATGATGATGATGATGATGATGATGATGATGATGATGATGATGATGATGATGATGATGATGATGATGATGATGATGATGATGATGATGATGATGATGATGATGATGATGATGATGATGATGATGATGATGATGATGATGATGATGATGATGATGATGATGATGATGATGATGATGATGATGATGATGATGATGATGATGATGATGATGATGATGATGATGATGATGATGATGATGATGATGATGATGATGATGTTATCATTAAATATCTTTTTAAATCAGAAATATCTGCATTTTACTGGCAACACAAAAAACATCCATTTCACTCCTTCTGCTCTCTTCAGACTTTGTATTATTAACACGACACACAACTCTTACCTGTAAATACAACTGGAGATCAGTTCTTCTCTTCTCAATAAAAGTTGGATCTTTGTTTCCAATGATCTTTTTAGGAGGGAGCAAATCTCGGGCAAGGCCATGGTTGCTAACAAGTTTGTCGTGGAGCTCGGCAAAGGCATTGTATCTCTTCTTTACAGTCCATTTAACAGGTCCAACACTAATGCTGATAACGTAGAGGGTGACACCCTCGGACTGCTCTGTTGATTCAATGGTCGCCTCCACATGCTGATCAGGACCCAATGATGCCATCTGCTGTTCATGAAGATTCATTACAAAAATGTACTGATTTTGTATAGATGTTTAACTGCTGCATTAAATTTTGTTGTGCATACATATAGTACTATTCATATATACGCATGTTTGTGTGTATCTATGTATACATATATTTACATGTTTGTATGTATGTATGTATGTATGTATGTATGTATGTATGTATGTATGTATGTATATATGCATGTATCTTTGTATGTAGATATCCATGTATACATGTACATATATATATATGTATATGTGTATGTATGTGTATGTATATGTGCATGTATATGTGCAGTATATATGTATTTTTAAATGTAAACTAAATTAAAATTAGATTCTAAATTTGAATAATTAATAAAAGATGATAATAATATCACTCATAATAAAAATATATAATAACAATAATAATACAATAAATATAATCATAATTATAATCATAATCATAAAAAACGTTATAATAATAATGATAATAGTAATAATCATAATAATAATGATAATAGTAATAATCATAACAATAACAATCATCATCATAAAAATATTAATAATAATAAAAATAATATTAATAATATCAATATTATTATTGATAATGATGATGATGATGATGATGATGATGATGATGATGATGATGATGATGATGATGATGATGATGATGATGATGATGATGATGATGATGATGATGGTAATGATGATGGTAATGATGATGGTAATAATGATAATGATAATGATAATGATAATGATGATAATAATAATAATGACAATAACAATAATAATAATAATAATAATAATAATAATAATAATAATAATAATAATGATAATAATAATAATAACAATAATAATAATAACAATAATAATAATAACAATAATAATAATAACAATAACAATAACAATAACAATAACAATAACAATAACAATAACAATAATAATAATAATAATAATAACAATAGCAATAACAATAACAAAAATTTCTTAAAACAAAACAAATCAAAACGAAATTCCTGCAGCAACTCTACAGCTGCTGGCACTCAGGCAAAGGCCAACAAGCCCCCCCCCCATCACGTACACTGTGGCAAGATATAAAGCCTTTGTAAACATCCACGACAATTTAACCTGAAATAAGGAATCCCTTCAAGCTCCATCTTGTTAGAATATAATGTAGTTTTGTTGTACTTGCTGGAGTGAAAGACACAGAAGCAGTTTTCCCAAAGATTTCGGAAAGTTTCGGATTGGATTGGACAGAAAGCAGCTAATAAGATTAAAGAAAAAGATATAGTCTTAAATGAAATTATGGATATTTGTCTTATGGATATTATGGATATGGTCTTTCATGTCATTATGGAGATCTCGTAAATATTTACCATATTTACCAAGCACCAGCACTATTAAATTCATTATTCTTGTCATCACTGTCACCTTTACTCATCATGATAAATCTTACTGATTTTACATAAATATGCACTCTCTTCACTATAAACCTAACCTACATTACACAAATCTAGTCACCACACTTATATATCCCTTTCATTAATGTATAATTTCAATTATCTTCAACCCATATGCCTGAATTAAACATAAAATATAAAGCAATCAATAATTTGTTTACTATACAACAAAAATAAACTAGTCACTCCATAACAATCTATCTATCTAAATATCCAAATGTTAAATTCAAATCAAGTCTGTATATTCACACAGCTATTTTAGATCATAAAACACGTAAGTCTATTCGCTCTCGGCATATCCCTAATGCAAAAAGTAAATACAACAGAAGTACATGCAAATACTCTGAACAGAATACCCAGAGGCTTAATGACTGACTCTTTCAGGACCTATAAGCCAGGGCAGAAATCTAGCAAATCAACACAACTGATGACAGTGTTATAATGACACTAATGACACGTTAATAATGACACTTATTCACGTTATTCCCTGCTGGGTAAAGGTCAGAGGTTCCCCCGAACACACCCACTTCCTCTTCCTCTTTCAACAACACATTACAAGTGTATCCTTTTTTTTAGAATTTCCATTCGCGTTAAATCATATAAATCCCTTTTTATCTGCTGAAAAAAATCATGATGCCCTACAACACATAACTCAATAAAAAGGGGAAAAAAAGGAGGAAAAAAAACAAAGATTTCCCAACCATAACGTAACGTTTCAAATATTTCCTTTACAAGTACCAGCACTCGAACCAACCAGAAGTAACACACCCAAGACAACCTTAACCTTAACTGACCCATTCTACTCACGTCAAGCCGAGAAATAAAAGAAATAACGGAGAGCTAAGGCCACCCGTCCAACCGTGCCCCCCGAAGGCCGCCGCCGCCGCTCAGGTCATCGGGCGAAGGCGAACGAAATCCTACGGTGACAATACCCACTTTTCACACTCGATTGCAACCGATCGCTGAGGGATTCATTAGGATTGATGCCAGGCAGGGGCGTCACTTAAGGGGGAGTAGCAACTCTTGAAAAAGACTCTTTTTGCAGGGCAAAATCTAGTTCTGCAGGGCAAATTTTCTCTTATGGAATCTGCCTCAATAGCCGATAAGTATTCAAGATATATAAATAACTATATGAAACTAATTGTTGATGATACTTGATTTATAACATTTCTCAGATGGTATCAATCTAGACAGCATTGTGCAGAAATGGTCAAAGGCAAAACTGCGACGCCTAAGAATCAAGTGATGACTGATGAGAGAATGCTCTCTTTCGACAAAACAAAACTATTGAAATTAATTTTTGAACCCTGTTCTATTCGTTATAGATTTCTTGTTTTTTGTATTGTAAGAAGTTTCTAGTTGAGTTTTTACGTTTTTTGTTGTTTTGTTCATTTATAATTTGTAAATACTGGTTGATGGTCCATTCCGGGCTACTTATAGAGAGCTAGTGAGCATTTTCTTTTTCGTGATTTGCAGGGCAAAAATGATTTTTTTCAGGGCAAATTTACCCGTCACCCCCCCAACTCATAACATGAAGTGACGCCCCTGATGCCAGGATACTGGAATTTACTCAGAACGCATGCAATATATTCGTAGCACGTGAAGCCTTATTATACGATACCACAGTACCTTAGGAAAATTATGTATATACATCATATCCATCTCACCTCTTCGTCAAGCTCACTTTATTATTAATCCCACCTCACATACGTATATGATAATAGAATCTAAAAATGGCATAAACCATTACATTGAATATCTTTTCATCTTCATTATCATAACTATCCCCATCATCTTTCCCAGCATCAAAATCAGGTTCTCACAGAAATGGTAGATGTAGGCCTATATGCGAATATATAATACAATGCATTCACTGTATTAAACGTAGTGAATACAATGCATATAATAAAAGTGCATTCTGGATTTATGGAAATAATAGAAAACGTTTTCAACAGAAAAGAGGAAACTGTATATCTTTTTTTTAATTACAAACTCGATTTTTTTTTTTTCTAATGCACAAACAGCGCAATTTTATGCGTTGATGCGTATATTTAGGGCACATGCAAGCTAACATTGCATCTTACCTTAAGATATCAAAGCACTTTAAAGTCGAATTTATAAAGCGAAACTCCTGCGTCGCGGGTATTTCAAACCTTGCCAGTGTGACGGCCACCCAACAACAGCTAATAAAAAAAAGTAATTGTTTATGTATATATGTATTTTTTTATCTACACATATCAGCTGCCTATACTGCCTGATTTGTTTTGTAGAAGCTATTTGTCGCAGGTAACTGTACCACCATATTTGGACAATTTTAGTAGTAATTTGCATTTATCTAAATAAAAGAAAACTGTTTATTTACTCAAAGTTCATCTTTGGCCAGCATCTTAGGTGTTTGGAACCACTGTGATCTGAATTGATAAAAATCTATTTACAGAACTGTGTACATGCCCTGCGAAAAGCCAGGGTAAGACGC